TCTGGGCCGAGGCCGGACTAGGGGGTAAAATACCTGAAAGAATAGTCAAACCACTTCGAAGTTCTCAAAGAACTTGCTTAAAACTAGTCACAGGGGCATATAAATCGACCAGCACCAGGGTGCTGGAACACGAAACTACTACACTTCCCATAGAAATCTACTTGAAGCAACAAAGGGTACAATATGTATGCTGTTCCAATTCCTGACCAGTCCAAAAAGCTATTCTATCTGCATGTAATAAGATCAAGCTGCCCAAAAGAGGGAGAGAAGATATTCGAGCAAATAATAGAAGAGCAGGCCTTGCCTACTGGAAAGAGATTTGCGGAGAGGAGAAATCTAACGAGTTACAGAAAGAGGCGCTAAATATTGCAGCATACCTAGAATGGGCGAAATTTTGGTCTACCCCTAAGCGAAGTCGACAGCCCCAAAAACTTGCTACAGCAGATCCTGAAACTTGGAAAGCAGCTAAATTCTATCAATGCCAACATACTGGACGTCAAAGAATAAGTTTCCAGAAAACTCCTCTTACCCTACATAAAAACCTGACAAGGGCCCAAAGTAGCTTAGCAATCCAAATTCGAAGCGAGCATATTGTTGTGCTGGCTCGGTTGAGTTGTTAGGAGACAGGGGAACGGAGGATGGGCTGCTGGATTAGGAGAGGGTGGAAAATTCAGGCTGGTGCATAGACCCTGTTCATGTACTCTACAATTTCTTCACCCGCCGGGTTTAGTGAAACAATCTATCCATATAATATCATACTTCACATCATCCATTAGATGATATTATCAATCGTCGGGATGCACATCTAGCATCACCTTCATAGATCACCATCGTCAGTAAGAGTTCACATTTGATACCTACTGACACCCATTTAGCCACAGTGATACGCACTCAGTGTCCATCGTGCCATCACCCAGCGTGAGCGCACCATCTCCGCGACTCACCATTGCACATGAGCCCGTGTAATTCCACCGACGGACAGCAGAGACATAATTGCTATATACCTCACAGCTCATAACCACAACACATATTGGGCTCAATTCGTATTTGCATAGAAGAAAAGTACCAGGAGTCTACGATCCATGCTGTCCGTGTGACTACCAATCACAAAATTCCAAGCACATGATCATGTCCTGCCCTCGATGGTCAAATGGAAGAGGAGAGATCTGGAGACAAGCCAAAGACCGGTCCTACGAAGCAATGATAGACAATCCTGGTGATATTAAAAGAATTACGCAATGGATTCTTAGTCATGGTTGGATAGATCAATTCCGCATGACAAATGCAGTCGAAATGCTGATTAGGGGAACGAGGCAGGACTGGCACAAGGTTGGGGTCGTTAGAGGGGACGTTATTGGTACATACAGACGGCACTACAGTGTAACTGTGTGTTTCGGTTACACTACGACAAGTCAAGCGTAAGCAAGTATAGGTATATTCCAGGCTACTGTTTCGGTCCCAAGGAATATCTGATGCTTGCGCTGAGACGCCCGAAGAAGTTCCATGTCAATAATTATTACAGGGTAATGTCGTGTCAGTGTCACAGGCTCATACCTGGTTATCATTAGGCTGCTGCCTAACAAATAAGGCTTGAACTCATCCAACCATATTAAACATCATACATGTCATGAACCCCTCCACGACTCATTAGACCCAAGTATAGCCCTTGGCCCAGTTCATGCAAATCTATTCTTAAATGACAAATTTAGATTGCAGACAGGACGACTCGAACACCAGTCGTGAGTCATCTAAGCCACATGCATCATAACTATTTTAATAACTAAAATTACTAACATTAAAATGAAGCTGAATTAAAATAGACGGAGATGCTGGTGTTTGTCGGAGGACAGGTCATGATCTATTTTGAGAATGGTATGAAATGAGGGAACGAGATCATAGTCTTGTAAATAAATAGGAGGCTTTCAGTCATGTCTCTGCTCGTTACTTTAAGATTTTCATTTGTATCTAGCTCTGAGTTCAGTTTGAATAAAACGCCACTTTAAGACCGTCACAGTCAGGTCGTGACTAGTCGCGTGTCTCGCAAATATACAACTGTCAAGGGAAAAAACGCGTACAGGACGTCTAGTCATAAGAACACTGTAATTTAGGAGATATATGTAACTTTCTAGTGTCATGTGTGATTTGATCTAAACCTGTATATGGAGACTAGGTCTAGTAGAAATATGGGTAAATGACTAAGGAACGGGTATGGAAATGGCTATATATGGACATGATCTGGATGATTGGAAAAGGGATCATACTGAACACATATCAAAACCAGTTTTACTCGATCATCTTCTAGATATTTTGTACCTTATTTAACATAACAATTAAATATATTCACTTATAGAAGTTATATCTTTAACACGACTAAGAAAACAATTATCATCTTCGTCATCATACGATACCATAACTAAGTCAAAAACTGTGCTTCTTGAAGGATAAATTGCAAATTTCAAAGATACAAATCAGAAAGCTGGGGAGGTTTTTACCGAGGGGTTTCCTCCTATGTAAATATATAGATAGGTTTATAGCCACCTGCTTGGGCCCATAGGGCGCCAAATCAGGACAATGAATACAAATCAAAAACAATTATTAATATTATTATTAATTCTTTTTATTGTTCTGCCTGAGTCTAGGACTATGTAGGACATGCAGGTTCTCTCTGCCTAAAGACCAAGGATACCTATACCAGTAGTATATCCCCTCCTTTGCCTCCCATACAGCTCCCCTCAAACAGTACCACCCCTCACAAGTCCTCATTCGATCATATACTTAGAGGAGCCCTTTGCCCTTCATCATCTTCCCTTTCCAGCCAACGAAATAATTGCCATTAGCGGGTGTAAAGTAGCCGGGAAAAATCGCAAAAGCCACTGCGTGCGGGGCTCTCCAAATACCGACATTAGGATCAGATCCGAAGATATAGTGATCCTCCCGAAGCGTTCGAAGAGGCTGGCCAACTGAGCACTGCGGACTTGTATGTACCTCGGAGAATTTACTCTCTGCCTTTCTAGCCTCCTTACATCTCCTTCCCGGAGATCGTGCTGAAATGTCATGAAAGTCTTGACAGGGCGTTGTTGCTGTGTGGTAGCTTAGCCCAACTTCATTTTTGCCGTCCACGCCGCTGGGGAGGGGCGTTGACCCATCGACAATTGAAGTCCTCCTGGCTAGTTAGCCGACATCTTGGTCTTGGCGCCCACAAACGTTTCAAGGTTGAAAGCCAATTGAATTATCAGTCACAGTATGCTACTTAGAGTCCTATTACCCTTCTTGCTCTATATTCCAGCCGCTTGTTCTTCCCTCAAGTTGTTCGTCCCATTAGAGCTACAGTCCCCCATAAGACAAGACCCAGACTTTGTATATTTCGACTTGATTTCCTCCTTGTGGGTATACGTAGCGTCGTAAGTTTGTAGTGGGTGATGGTAGGTAAAAATGAGGCAAGCTCATGTCTGCAACTGGAGTGCTGCCTTTATCGGTCGTTGAGGCGAGGTAGTGTGTGGAAAGGTTTAAATAGATTTCTCTCGTGAGAATGACAATACCGACAGTGATGTGAAGTCGCCCATTGTAGATGTGTTTGCTTTCGACCCCGATTTGGATGCGATTGTTCTAGGCTATGCCAGAGATGCAGGACATACTGTGCGATTACACCGGCACCACTGGAAGGTGAAGAATTCGTCTTTGCCGGCGACTTTCTCTCTTTTCTATGCCTCTTTGATTCACGCTCGTGCACCATCGGCCACTCAGTCATTCCGAAGACGGTTATTAAGTGCATCCTTGCTGTAATAGTTACCATCTTGTCTACTACCCCCTAATTCAGGGAATAGTTGTCTTTTTTGGCTTCCCAGTTTTACCAAGCTCCGGCTTCTCGTGGTCAAGATGACTAGCAGTCTTGAATTGCTCCATACGGTTACTTACCATTGACAAACGAGCTGCAACTCTACATCCTCGTGGGGTGAGAAGTATCTTTTTTAAAGTTTAGTTTTGGCATCACAGAACGTGCGAGACTAGAATTCTGAATGATCCTGACAGGAGAGTGAGATATTTTCAACTGTTAGGAAGCTTGCACCACAACTACACCTTGATGTGAGGCCAGGAGCCTGGACAGATGCAATCCATACCTTGGGATTAATAATTCTGGAACGATAGAGCTTGAGAACTGTACATTCGCGCTTTTTACGACCGTCACAAAATCTCAATATGGACTGTTTCCATGATGTTCTTCAAGCTGCTGCCTTCCTACCGCCCTTAATGGTCTCCCATCGCAGACGCCATTTCGTATCAACCCACGCTTTCATTACCGCCTGCATGTCCAATAAGTAACTAAGTACTCATATCCAGACAAATCGTTTGGCGTGAGTTAAAATTACTTGAAATTTAACACCTTTAATTGGATTACAAAAGTAAATACTGCAGGAGTTTTGGGCAAGCTTGATAGCTTGGACGATAATCCTGACAATGAATAGAATTTAATTTAAGCCCCTGCAGAGTCTATGACTACGAAGGGCAGTCAAAGCTATCTAAACTACTTTAAGCTCTTTGGTAAAAATGAAAATCAATACAGTTCATATTTTCCGATGGATACTGAGGGTCATGTCCTGATTTCTTCTCATCTACAGCATGATCTTTAACTTTGCTGCCCATCTCCACTCGCTTCCTTTCTATTAGTCCTAACATAAATGACCATAAAAAATAGCCTTTTGTTTAGATTTGATCAAATGAGCCCTGATTCCTTCATGTCTCTTGGCAATCAATATTTACACTTCATGCCATTTTCTCATGATTATTGAAGATTACAAAGAGTCTGATTGTAACTAGTCGGTCATTCTCAGGGCCATATAAGCTTCAGGTAGGAAGGCAAGCAGAACCATCGACCGATATCTACTTTTATCACAGTGATTTCTCCTTCTATTCATATTCATCTCACCGCTACCAGTCTGGAACCAATATCCAGTTGCAAACCCCAAATATAATCAACAGTTCTCATCTTCAAAATACTCAACATGAAAAGCTCAGCTCTCGTTTTCTTTGCAGCTCTGCTAAGCCATTCGATGCCTATCCTTGCTTTAACACATTATAACTGTAGAGAAAACTATATTCCTGTGCAATCAGTAAAGAGAAGAGTTGAAGAAAGATATAATGATTTGATAGAACGAGGTTACGTGCCTAGTCAACACGAAGAAGGGACTGAGTTTGGTCGAACGGTCTACAGTGCAATTTCTGCAACAAGCTCAGGTATGAATGAATCATGATATAACACGGTGTTAACCAATAAACTCACCGGCAATAGATGATAGACTCGAAGTCACAATATCATTTGATAAAAATCAAAGGGTCCTTTCGGTCAACGGTTACCTATCGGGCTTAAGATTTATTTGTCCCGGAGTCCATATTGACATTGATCTTGACTCATAGATCATTACCGATATTTTCAAAACTACACACCAAAGTTGGAGCCTGTGAGCGCTTTCACATAATCATTTTATGTGGGGCTTTATATAGAGATATTCTAGATCTAAGGGCTGTAATTTATTCCTCAATTAGATTCTGGAGAAATGCTATTTGAAGTTCGAAGGCTCTTTCTAGACACCACGCTACTATTTTCTGTTCAGCTCTGTTTGCGGATAAATGATGTTGAATATTAGCTCTTCACCACAACTCTTTGTCATATAACTCATTCAGACCTCTTTAACATTTCAGCCAAAACCAGTGATCACCCATTCAATACCGTAAGCAGGCTGAAGTCTATTGTACTGAGTTACAGATTACTTTGTTTTCTAATCTCATATTGTGCTCAACTAGCTAGCTATGACAATTAAACTTCAATATATTGTAACTGCAAAAATTCCATTAAAGCCCCATATCTACTCTCGATATTCTTCCATGTCCATCATTATTGCGCCTCTTTGATCTCCTCGTGCCAGCTCCCGACGTAGAGTCTGCAGAGCAGGGATTGAGCAATATCCTCGTCCTCACTTCGCTGAGGATTCCAAATCTCTTCGGCGGTTTGTATCTGTCGGTATATCACCGGTAGATTATTGTGCTAGCACGAGAGGTTTGAAACAGGTACGAAAAAGTGTGTATGTGTGTTCTCTCTCAATTACCTTCCTGCCAAATAGCAGTTCCCCAGCACTTCGCTAATTAAATCACATGACTTAAGTCTCTATCTACGTAATCAAAGCCAATATTCATACACTGAAAACTCTTTAAAGTGATGTTTTTAACCAATAAGAACTTTGGTCAGGCCGGTTGCCATACTCCTCGATTCTACTTTCGCTCGACCCACCCTTCCAATCTGACTGTCAATTCGTTCGAGTCAATGAGCTTATTTAAAGCTGAAGTCGCATTTACCTTTGTCATAGAGTCTGCTGGGTTATCCATACCGTTTATCCATCGTATCTCAGCAAGTTCTTTACGTTCGTATGATTCACGAATAGCCATGACGTCAATCATCAGTCGCTTTTCCTTAGTGGTTCCGAGTTTCACTAGGCATTTGTATAGACTGCGGCTATCGGTGCAAACTATCAACGGAACCATCGGTAGAGCTAGTTGATCCATGATTTGGTTGACTGTCATACACAAGGGGATTGCAATATCAATACCATTGGTCATGGCATATAGCTCCGACGCTAGTACAGCTCGAGTCACTCTTTTGCACTTAGTTGAGCTCCAATGGATTATATTACCGCAGAAAGTGAATTTATTCTCACCAAATGTTTTGTTCCCAAGAGTGATTACAAAACCTATTTGTGAGGTAAGGTCTTTGTTATTGGCAAATGAGCCATCAACCCAGCAGTAAGCTTTCAGCTTGTCAATATCTAGACTAATGTATCTTAATCCACGGTTGACGTCTTTCTGTTGTTCTCTAAGTGCGCTATTGAGATCATTAATTTCTTGATCTTCAGGATTTTGAGATTGGGCTGCTCTTGATAATTTGAAGGCAACAAGTGGTTGACAGTTCGAAGAAATCCATGCTCCAAGCGCTCTTTGTCTCTTGTAGATATCGAGTCTATTGGGGTCTTGAAGATTGACAAGCTTGATCTTCTTGCCTTGACCATTAGGTTCTATGTGTAAAGCGTTGTCTCGAAGAGTGATTAATAAACCATTAAAATGAAGGGGGTTTTTCTCAGATAGGCGTTCAATGGGTTTCGCGGGAAATTTTGCCTCTATTAGCTTAGCGTCTTCTAATCTCAGGAATTCTTCGGTTCCAAGGAAGAGAGTATCATCGACTTGCATTCCTGAAATGCTGAATGGCTTGCTGTGTGTTACAAGTAAGCACGGGTCAAAACAGGATGATTTCAAAGCGAGTTCTTTTGTCAAGTACTTAATCCAGGTGTCGAACCAATGGTTGCCCGCCTCTGGAATTCCATACAGAGGTTTCACAACGTGCATAAGAGTACCTGGCGGTAGGTTCTTTGCTTGTACTATTTCCGGAGAAGGCCAGCAATATATGTCCCGAATAAGATGGGTCCTTGAGTGTGTATACGCTTGCTGTATGTCTCGAAGAAACAAAATGAGGCCGAATTGTCTGATCAAGCAAATTGCAAAGCAGAAAATAAGTCGTTGGCTTGCCCGTTGTACAGTAGGCGACTGGGTCAAGACCAAGGATTTACCTTCATCGTTGTATGCCTGTACAACTAGGCGAGATTTTTCGAAGGGCGTAGATGTTTCCTTGCCTTTAATTCCCTTGACAATTCTACATTTGTAGATACGCTTTCCTAATATTAAATTGTTCGAAGGTATGAATTGGAAGACATCATTCGCCAGCAGGCTGTCTATTTCCTTTTTGGTTGAAGCGAAAAATGGTGGTCCGGGAGTTTTAATGAGACCCTTTGAACGTAGGTCAAGGGAGAGTTGAATTGCTTCTTCATTTTGAGATAGATATAGATGAGATTGTATTTCGGGGCTAATGTTGAGGTGATCTTCAGTCTGGTATTGGCCAGTGAATCTACCATCTCTTTGACTGCGTCTTAGTTGAAGTGATGGCATTGAATCATTTTCTAAATTGATTTCTGGATTTAACGATGGTAGGTCTGAGCTAGCGTCACGTTGGGTATTAGGGTCTTCGTTATCTTCAAACCATTTGTTAACTGATGTTGATCGAAAGTTTTTCTTTTCCCCATTTATTAGCACCGTTATTGTCTCACCTTCCTTGTTGTACAATTCAAACGGTCCTGTCCATTTTCCTCGTGTATTCTTCGTTGCCTCGCGCCACACTCGAACTTTACCTCCCACAGGAATATCTTCAAGGTGAGTATGCCGTGGTCCGTTCCGCATATTTTTAGCTAGATTGATAAGCTGTGTGGCGCGATGTTTTTGGAGTTCGTCCATTGCCTTTTGCATAGCGTCCGCTCTTTGTTTTGATACTGGCGCGGGAGCATCGTTCCAAGTAATACGGGGATAAGCACCAAACGCGCAAAGAGTAGGTACAAGGCCATCTGGACCAGCTGAGTCGTTAAGTGCTTTTACAGCCATTTTAAGGATTGAATGACGGTCGACATTTTGCCCGGAAAATTGTTGTTTGAAAATGGTATAAGCCCGGCGAAGATTTTTGTGGGCCTGCTCAACTTTTCCAATAGAATTGTGCGCTTCTATGGGAACTTCAACAACGCGGGTCTTCCATCCCGAGGCGGTTGCACGGAATTCTGCGGATGCGAAGTTCTTGCCGGCATCGTGGATTAAATTTTCGGGTGGACCAATGTAGACATTATTCCAACAGCGTTCAATTGAATTACAAGTAGAGATAGCCCCTTCTTTGTCAGGCCCAGTAAGGAAATCTGCTGATCCTAAGTTAGTTCCAGCGTCTATTAGATGTACAGCCGGTCCGTCTTCTAGATGCATTACGTCGACGTAGACTGTATGATTGAATGGAACATCTTTATTAGTGAGGGTAAATTTGAATCGTAGAGGCCGATGAGCGTTTAGCTGACAGTCATTGCAAAATTTGGATATCCGGTCAATGATTTTTATGTCAATGTCATGACCAGCTCGCCGAAAAATTTTCCACATTCTAGAAGCTGATGGATGTCCCCATCGACGGTGACATGTCCTAATTTGTTGTTCTGTTAAGTAACAAATAGGTTCATTATTAGATTCGTAAATAAATAAAGACTGGAAGTGGCCGAGTGTCATCCATAGATGGCCGTATTTTCGAATGAGAGCTGCTACTGGCTTTTGGTTTTTGATCATGACGTTTTTCTGCACATCAGGTGTGACACCTAATCGTGTCATGTCTTGTAAGCCGAGCAAAAACGGGGTATTGCAGGGTAAAATGTGAAACGTAACTCTGCCGACGGGCGTATCCAAAGTAATAGAACCAATAGAAATAAAAACGCCGTCACCAATTCCCGATATTTTTACCTCTCCAGCCCTTGTTCTATCGACCTTTAACTCCTTTTGTAAATGCTTAAGTGCTTTGGCTTGTCCAACTCCAACTGTGGAACGACCCGCTGCACCTGTATCAACCAAAACGCCATGGAAAACTCTTTCATCGTATCTTTCATTATAGTCATTACCAATAGAAAATACATTTCTGAACAAATGAAAAACTGCAGGGGTATCTGTCTCCAAATCGAAGCTTTTATTGACACCAGGAAAATCGAAGTCTAGTGATGCAACTGTTATTAACATTTTTTCTTCTTGTTTTGATGCTGCATATTTCGTTTTTGGTGCTGTAAATTTGTGGAAAGTTGTTAGGTCTTGAAGGTAGCCCGCGACATTTTTCCCTCCAATTTCTGAAATAAGAAAATTTTGACTTTCTTCTTGGTAACAGTATCCATCCTCAGATTCTGGCTCGTCAGTGAGCTCGTTTACAGATAAAAAATGGTGTAACTCAGCGTCTAGAGATTCTCCTTCGAATTGCAGGACAAATTGTTGTACGGCGTTTTCGTCTTTTGAGGGGTACGTCTTTTTAATTTTTTCAAACGCTGCTCTCTGCTCTTCCGGTGTGTGTTCAGAAGACCAACAATTTGTCTTTTTACACACAATGCAGCGTTTATTCCAGGTTGACTTTACCATACTAGGTCCTGATCCTATTTTTCTTCTTCCACGAAAATTTTGGCTTCCTCTACCTGTACTACTTCCTCTCACTGGTTGGTACTGCCGCTCAGCTAAATAAGAGTTATCAAAGCTATTATTTTCAACGTGACTGAGCTGATGATATTGAGAAATTGATGTGCCGGATAGTGATAATTGCATAAATCTCGCTCGTATATCTGCACAAACACCTTCTGCTGTTTTTGCCGGAGAGAATAAAACAAAGTGTAGGTCTGCAACTCCAGAGCAAGCATTGATAATTCTGGTTCGCAATGCAGCATCACCAGCGTGGGATTCGAGTCCCCTTTGAACACGACGAAGTTCTTTTTCGAGATTGTTGAAAGCTTGAAGTTTATCTGGACTTTTCCGCATTTCTTCAA